GATTTTTAAATGTTAATGATTTGAGTGCCTAACATTTACCTTTTTAAAGCTAATAATAATATCAAATAATATCTTTTTTTGTATGGTTATTGATTAACAAATTTTTAATGAATATTACACCTACATTCATTCCCTCAATATATCTTTAAAATACTTAAGTCTAAGCAATCATAAATCACTATTAGGTTAATTTTGGTAAAACCAAAAATGTTAATTTGTTTTCTTTACTGCCAGTTTTGAAAATAATCAATCCCATTCTTGCAGACCAAAACATCAAACCTTGTTGTGCATCAAACATTTCCAATGGCGCCTCTGTTTATGTTAAACTCAGCTGTTCCGTAAAGTTCGAGCCATAAAACAGATACGTTTTATAATTTGTTGTATCTTGACGAATGCATCCGAAAGCGCCACTCAAATCGAAGTGGAGTGGCTATAGCAATGCCCATCAGGTTATTGGGGCTAAGTGAAAGTAAATTTTTGGGTATTTTTATGGACATCGACATCCATTGGGCTGGAGACAGATGCCATTAATGTTGCATTCCATTTCTTTGGCGCTGGAGTGTTGAAAGCTCTTTTGTCTGTCGCCCGTGGGCACTTCACACCGAATTGCTTAATCAGAGTGGTTCTTTCTTTCCATATCGCCTATATATCGGGTATATATTGCATTCTTCAAGTTTTGAGTGTTATCGAGGTCGAGACCAGTGGCTCAGTGACAAAGGCGATTAAAATAATTGGCCAGCGACGATTCTTTGATTCTTGTTCGTGGTAAAAGCCATTCGCAGCTGATTTATTGCATTATAAATTTGTGCGCATGCCTAGGAAGCTACGATTTTGAAATTTTAGAAAGTTCGTCCCCCCTCCGAACAATACAGAGCCCCACCTTCCGAGTTCTTCCCGCATTCGGATATTTTATTAGCTACTACGCATCTATAAATTATGCCTAATGAGGCGGCCAGACGTCGAAGACAACAAAAGTCTGAGTTCTCCTTGGGTTGGGCCCTATTTTAACTCAAGAAGTTCGGGGGGAAATGGTGTGAAATTGTAATTGGATTGGAATGCGCAATGAGGCGGAAATGTAATGCAAAATGTTGAAACAAATGGATCTTGTTTGTCAATTAAAGTGTGACCATAAAACATGTCACAATTGATGTATACCCAAAGTGGATTTCATAATCCCCGGCACACACAGAATAACATGAATTTTATACTTTTACGACCGACTGATTCAATTGGAACTCGGGTCGTTAATGAAGTGAACGATCTTAGTGCTTTAATAAAAATATTTGACACTTTGGAGTTTATGTTTACTGAAAATGATGTATGTGAATTAATAAGGATTTTCTAAGTTTTATAAGAGGTAAAAATGTTTATATTCTAACATTTTAAAACACATTACTCAATATTAGAAAAAATATGTGTTTTAATAAAAATTATATAAGCCAACAATAACTAAAGTAAAATTGTCTGTAAGACTTATATTCTTATTCAATCAAGTAAAAACTCAACTGATTTTAAGCCCGATTTCTTATCAGACTACAGAGCTCCAAAAAGATCATTTCCACTATCAGCATCACCATCATCGTTTTCTGGGGACGAATAGAGTGTTAGGACACACAAATTCTAGGTAAATAAGAACCCTTTTTAAGCTAACTGGCCTGGAAAAAATGAAGAGTGGAGATGGGTCATGGCGACAGCAATAATTCAAATGGGAACAGCATTACTCAAGGCGAATTGTGTGTGTGCGAGTGTGTGCCTGACAGTCGGCGGAGCTAACGAATGAAACCCCGACTTTTCTCTGGTTTTGATTCATGGCCCCTGGCCATCAGCTCTTGGCCAGGCCTAATCGCCTTGGCGACACCTATTTTCGTAGGCGCGACATCATCTCCCCTCTGTCCCTTTGTCCCACCATCCACAATCCACTCCATTCGGAACCCCAAGCCCAAGTCACATCCGTGCGTATGAGCATCATCAGTTGCCAGACCGTAACTAAAATGAGACGCCAAACAAAAAGCAATTACGTGTGCTGCCTGCCCTTTTGAGTTTTCGGTAGGGAAAAGGGTAGGGTGCAGGAGTAGGGTGATTCGTTTTGGGGTAACCAGCACTGAATAAAATTCCTTATCGCCATCAGAGGTGTACATGAAGAGAGGAACATTTTTGGGATGGCAGCGTGAGGTACGATCGGCCAAGGTTGTGAAATACATTGCAAAATAATTTCGAAATCACAGAATTTTGTTGGTTTTATAATTTTATTATTTTTTTTAAGCCAGGAAATATTTTTGAAATTATATAAATATCTTAAAGGTACCAAGTTCGAACATAACAGCTATTAATATAAGCAGGTTTATTTATTTATAGATTTTAACAAAAATCATATACGAAATCAACGGTTTTTATTTTAATTGAGCTCAATTTGTTTTCTAGGAAATCCAATGATGAACAAAATATAAATATAAATATAACTTAAAAGTATTAACAATTTTTTTGAATTTCTTTAATTTAAATCAATAGGATATATGTAAGGTAGAACTCTAGAAGCATATATTGGATTTTAAATGATAAATAATTTTTCAATTAACATTTTTTTTAATGTTTTATGATTTTATGTCATCACTAACTTCAAGATGCATAGCTCAGATATATGAAAAACAGAGACAGAGAGGGAGAGAGAGAGAGAAGTACCGAGAGGGCCAAGATACGTAGTCGCCGAACAAAAGGCTGTGGCAATTAATCTTCGCTTCTGAGTTTGGCTTCAAGGTGAATTGTGTGGCATGCGCCCGAGGGCCAAAAAGCCCGATGTGTTTGGGTCTCTTCCTTAACCCATGTGATGTGCCCCCACCCCGCGTTCCCTTTTGCGTACCCCTGCTAATGATGGTGGGTTAAATGCCGTGCTGCATTCAACTTTAACTCATTGAATTATAAATTACGCCTGCCTCGATTTGTGTGTGTTTGTGTGTGTTGGGAATGGTAAACGTGCTGGGGAGAACTTTTGGCATTGCCCAATTGACAGCTATTTTTGGGATCCCGATCCCTCTCCTCCGGCAGCTCCAAACCATATGTATCCGAAGCCACGACCTGGGTAATTTGCTTTATGATCCCAGCCTCGACTTCTGGGCTCTGGGCCGATTGCCAAAATCCAGGCAGCCAGGATGTCCGAAAACGTGTGAAAAAGTCAGTCAGGCGTAAGTGCGCCCGGTAGATTTTTTGGGATAGGGACTTCACTGGCTTGATTCGGAAAATATGCTCCTGTTTTGGCCCGGCTCGGCATGCAAAGGGATCGAATCGAATGGAGTTCACTGGAGTGTAAGGCATGGACACACACAGCAAATCACCTGGAAGTAATACCCATTGGTAGTATCTCCCGTGAAAACAATGACAGCCTTTTCTGCCATTTATTGATTCTGTCTGACATTGAAACTGGAGCTGCTGATGTCTGCATTTGTTAGGGGTCGCCAGATGAAAAGGCCCAAAAGTGAGCTTGATTAATGTTTAATAACGACTTTTGGACTGGCCGAGTCAAAGGTTTTTCGAAAAGTTTTTTGTTGAATAAGTTTAAACCCCGTTACGTGTTTAAAACTTAGTGGCTTGTGCTTAATGCTTAACAAATTTGTATAACATATATATATTTTTCTATTCAGTCATTCTAATATTTATACCTATCCTTTTTATTGACAAATATAAGATAATAGTTAGTAAGAAGATTTATGATTTTTTTATGAATCTTAAGCTCACTTGTGCTATTTTCCAATTTAAATTCATTTAGTAACTATAGATATTTTTGTAACATATATATTTCTCTAATTTTTACAAAAGTTGATAAGCTCACTTAGTTGAGTCCACTTAATTCGAAATATAATAATAAAAAGGAAAACTTTCTTTTACGTTATTATCTTATTATTGTACCAACATTTTTTGATAAATAAAAGACACACATAATTAATTCAATTAAATTAAAAATATTAAAGGGAATATTTTCTTAATACTTAAGTGTGCTGTTTTCCAATTAAACAAACAATAAATAAGCAAATAATATAAACATCTAAACAAGCAAATGCGGAGACTACTTTTTATGATGTCAAAAATGTGGAAGTGGTCTTAACTTGTACCATATTCTTCTCTATAAAAACTCTTGCCACTTCTCAGTTTCACAGTATGCATGCCGCAGGCAATTTTGTTGAGTTTAAGATGACCCACATATTACCCAGACTTCGAGACGAATTTCATCCCATCTCACACTTCTTGGGGCTCTTCTTTTGTCTTCGGTCTCATTTTCCCCAGCCTCTTGGCTTTTTTCCGTTGCTATCTTAAGTGCACTTTTGAAGTGTTTTATTTATTGCACGACTTTTTCCTCTCGCCTGAGTTGGAGTTTTCTCTCCTTCTTAAATGCGTAAAGTGTTTCATAATTCAGAGCCGAGGTTTGACTCCAATTCCGACGCGGAATCGGAATCGGAATCAGAATCGTCTTCGGATTCAGATTCCCATTTCCCCTGCCCAATTTCCCACTTGGACCACACGTCGTCAGTGTCGCCAAGTGTTTCTTCGGCTGAATATGATGGTATATGGCATGGTATATGGTATCATCTCGATTAAATCCAGGGGCGCGTTATGTGTGTGGCTTTTATGGGCTACCCATAAAAGAAAACTGAAAAAAAAACTCAACAAAATACGTATTTTCCTTTGTTATTTATTTTTGTTACAGTTTGAGCGCATCTTTTGGACTTTTCCTTCGTTTTTTTATCATCAGGGCGCTGTCTCTAATTGCATAGAACTGCGACCACCCATTCCTATGGACAATATATGGGCATCTCCTCATATTTGGGATGGTTTTGTTTTGATTGCTGCTGGTCGAGATCTGGAAACAACGTTTATGATGATGCGATTCGGTCCATAAACATGCTGGACTTGAGATATGGGAAATCGGTAAATTCATCAACTGCTACGCTTTTCATTTTAGTAAAAAAAATGTTTTACAATTTATTTGAATAACAATAAAATTTCAAAACTGGAAGAAAAAATGTTTTTATTAAATCAAGATGACACAGTTTTCTTTTTATATTTTTATGGTTTTTCATTCTCGGTGAAAAATATAACTATCTGGCGAGGTATATCCTTCCAATTGTTTTTTATTGTATCCCATGTGCTGTTCTTTAGTGTATCCCAAGTGGTTATATTGGGTATGACATTTTGCGACTCAAATGTTTTTAATTTTTCCTCCAGTTTCGGCTGCATTACTTCCTTTACTGTGTTCCAGAATGCTGAACTTCCTTCCTGAATTTTGAGGTTGCTTTCGCAGACTCGAAGTTGTTCTACTTTTTCTTGAAGACTAGTTCTCAAACGATCCGACTCCAAGATATCCGCATTTTTCGATTTGATATCTTCCAGCTCCCTTAACAAATCAGTTTTTTGAGATTCGAGAGTTTGCAATTCCAGTTCTTTAGCTTCAATCATTTTTCCATATTCATTGATTATAGATTGTTGTCTCTCATTAAAACACAAACTTCTGTGTGAGATCAGCAAAAGTACGAAAAATACTATATATTTGTCCATTATTTTTGTTTTGAATTCAGATCAGGAATTTATAGGTTGTTGACGATTTGGCGTACTGAACTAAAATGGACCTAATCTTTATTCAATTCGATTTTTGCTCTTTGTAATCTATGTGAAAGTAGATTGCCTTTAATAGCTGGTTTATATATACGATGATTAAATATTAATAAACAACGTGACTATGTTTTTAGCTAGATTTATAGGTATTAGTTGGTTGTATTTTCGTGTAAGTCTTTAGCCATCCATTTATTTTTATAAACCCAAGTCTGACAACCTTAGACGCTTATCAGCATTAATCACTCTTTGTTTATACTTCAATTTTGTTTCGGGTTTTTAATGGTTCATTTCAATTGGAATTTGATGCTAGATTTCTCGCTCGCTCTGCTCCAAAGTTCAAACATGAGCCGCTAAACATTTCGAAAGAATATGAGGTTTAATTTTCTTTTTTTTATTAGTTTTCGAACTGCAGTTTCTTATCTGACCAGCTGATAACCTTCACGAGTCTGGGCGCAGAACAAAGAAATAATCGAGAGTGAAATTGTAATATTTTCCCCACTCGATTTTGAGGCCCGCACTTTAAGTAACCCTCTGAATGAATCACATTCCCTTGTTCGATTCCCACAATTGGGAAGCTGAAACTGAAAGCAATTTGCGAAATGTGTTGAGAATCTTTTGGGTGATTAGAGAGCCCTGACACCGGGACTCGAATGTCACTGCCAGCCAATTGATTGATATTCGATCGGTATTCTGTACTCTAAGTTCTGAAAAGGGAGCGGAGATATTTACCAAAGTGATAACCTCGGTTCAGGGCCGGATTATGTTGTGATCCGATCGACGTGTGCGCTCATTTTTCCCATCACGTGCCACACGCGACCTAGGTTTTATATTCTGCGACATTTTGTGCAACATGCGGCAACAGCAGCCTCTTGAATTTCAACAGGAAAATGTCGCTTTTTGGGAGGGGCGAAAAACCCGGGAACTGGAGGAGGGTTATGGCTGGAGTATGGGCTTTGGCGGCTCTTCAAAGCAGCTGCAGGATTTTCCTGGCAAGCTAAAAATACGGCAGAGTCTACCAAAGGCTTTCGCCTGTCTGCGGCCACTACTTCTCATACTTTCGCTTTTTCCATTTTCATTTTTTGCCTTTTTTTTGGCATCTCTGCACTGTCTATACGGCAATAAACCAAATTAAACTAACAAATTAGCCTGCTGCAGTGGCACTCAAAATGGTAAACTTATGCCCCGCTCTCAGATTTATGCTTATGTTGATTTTTTACAATGAGATTAAAATTCGCTAATGTGAAAAAAGTGATGAGATAAATAATAATAACATATATATATTTTATATATTTATTATATTTATTTATTTTTTCGGTTTTATTTTTTTCAAAATTAATTTGCATTTCTTATTTCTTTATCACTATTTAATATTTTAACATTGTTTTGCTTACTATTTTACTTACTCTACAATAAGCTCATAAATTCCCTTTCTGGCCAGAATTATCTATTTCTATTCCAACTCAGGTTTTGTGTGACACTTTTCACCCCATTCTCCTCCTTCCTCTTGCTGAAAAACTATACCTATCCCTACCCATATTGTGGAAAGCAATCACAGTTCTCCTCACAACAAATTCTTAACGCAAAACCAATAAACAATTACGCATCCATGATCACCTATGGCACTGTACCATTGTCATTGTCAGGGGATGACCAGTGCCACTCGATTGCCACCCCCTTTTCCACTCCAGAGCCCACTTTTCACAAGGACTTTTCGGTGGAAACCCGGCAATCAGTGGCCATTGAATTGCATTTGCCACTGGCACATCACAGTCCCTTTTGCCGGATTTATGCGTCATTATTTCGTGTAATCCATGTGAAATAGGGGCAATGGACATGCAACCGTAGTTCATTTTGGTTGAAATTTTTGAGTGTTGCGAAAATTGGTGCGCAAGCGTGTGTGCCGGAACCAGAAATGGAATAGGATCGCATTAGCCGGATGTCCGTTATGGTGGCCAGCTGTCTTTGGACACAATTTGCCACCCCCTCAAAAGCATTTTCATTGCCAGTGAAATTGGCAAACAATTCAAATGGAATTTGTACATGCAATTTTCGAAAACAACCTCTCGAGTGGAGGGTAAAAATGTTTGACAACTTGATCACACAACAAAGTTGTTTTGGCGTTTCTCTCCTGGCCACGCCCCCCGCACCGCCAAACGCCCACTTACACTCGACTACAGCACCAACTAACTATACAACAAATCACTCAGCCCCCAAAAGTCAAGACAAGTCAAAGAGTCGAGAGCATGGCATAAATGTTTAACAACCAAACTGCAGTTTAATTGCCCGGCCAAGGCAGAGGAAAAAACAATGTTTATTTTTTCTTCGCTGGCATGGTTTGGAAATGGCTTGGAAATGACAGGCAATGCCGGCGGAAGAAGAATAGCAAAAATAAAATGTGACCCAAACAGCAATCTGGCAGATAGGCTCGTAAAACGAGCGGCGGTGCCAACTAAAAGACAAAAAATAAAAATGAGTTGGAAAAAAATGAAAGGTTTTTCTGTGGTCGAATCTGAAAATATGAAAACAACAACGCAAAAACAAATTATGAAGTAAACAAAGCTGGGTACATGTCATACACTCCAGCTCGTTACAGTGTCCTCCGATTAACAGGCAATTAACCAATTAAAATGTTGAAAAAGAGTTGTGCAGATTGCAGCTATTCAAATTATATGATAGCCAATTTAAAATACATTCAAACAGGCAGGGAAATTGTGGGAGTACAGCTCTACTTTGAAATAGTTTTATAACCATACTATAACAGATGGTATATTAAAGAATAGCCAATTACATGATAGCCAATTTAAAGTACTTTTAAATAGCTGGAGAATTGATAGAAGAGTGGGTCTACTTTGAAGTAGTTTTATAACCAAGTGTTATTAAAAAATAGACTACATTTTACAGAAGAAAGGATTTGTTTATAATCTTTAAACCTTTAACCTTTAAACTCGTAATGTCATCGAAAAACAAAAAATATTTCAGAATAGAATTTATATAAAAGGAATTTTATTTTTATTCCGAAACATTTTAAAACTTTTTTTTTCATTGGTAAATCCTTAAGTCATTTTAAATGCATTATAGCACTTACAAATATTAAACAGAAAAGTGACCAAAATGCATTTAAAAATATTGTACTAAATCTGGATATTTTTATGGAACTTCATGCTTTGTTAATACATTATTTTAACCCACTGTGCCTTTGGTCCCCCCTGCAAACATTGGATGGCTGCTTGGAGGAGATGCAACATGTGTTCCGGGAATGAGCCGCGTGCCGTTTTATACACGTTATGCTATAAATTTTATTGTTGTATGCGTGTTCTGCCGTAGTTCCCGGTTCCCAGTTTTGAGTTCCCAGTTCCCAGTGTGTTTGTATAAGTTGCATGCATCAGGCCTTTCCGGCCTTCTTTTGAAGCGCCTCACCACATCCACATCCACATATTCCATCCAGAGAACAGAAAACAGCGAAACAGTCAAAGGGCAACCGATCGTAAAGCAGCTGACATTTATGATAGATGCAGCGGATAGACATGGTCATATGCCGCCTGGTTAAATGGGCCTCTTTTGCTTTTCGTTTGGTGTCTTTACAGCATCGATGGCCAGGAATTCCATAACCACAGCCATAGCATTTGGGATTATTTGTCGCCAGCTTAGATGCATTTTTCATCGTACTCTGCGGTGGCAGCAGTTGCTCCAGTTGATGTTGCCTCTTGTGTCGCCCACACAAACTCGCAATTACGTTGTTTATTCTAGACGACAAGGGCTAAAATGCATGCTAGAAATAAAAACATGCCAAAGGAGCTCGGCAGCAGCAGCAGCATCATTATCATCGTCATCCTTTTGTCATCGCATGCAAACATCCCGACATGGTTCACAAATTGTAAGAATCAAACGGCAAATAATGCAGACAACTACATAATGACAACGGAAAACACAAAACCGAGAAAAACTAACTTAGAAGTCAGTTGACATAGGCGACGGTTTGATGGTCTCTTATGCGAATAACAATAGAATGTTCAACAAGTTAAAAAACAAATATATTAAATTGTTTACAAAATATGTTTAGTAAATTTTTTACAAAATAAATTTGTTGTATACCACATTTTCAATGCATAACTCAATTTGATATTTTTTAAGCACTGTTTTCATAACAGTTTGTTACATCAGATATAAGTTTTCAGTTCAGCGGATAATTAAAAAATTAAGTCTTTTTTTAGGAGTATTTTGCCTTATGCTTTTTCACTCAAAATTTTAAAGCTAAAAATTTTGCTTTATTTGTTTGAAAATGCTCTTTACTTATTAATTTTAATTAAATGCATATATGTTTTTAAAATTTTCAAAATAATATATTTTATACAAAAACCTTTTAGAAACATACCTTCCCCGTATCCAAGCCCAAATACCCTTCCAATATTTTAGCAGGTCCTTATCTAAGGATCCCACGGAAGTCAGCACGACAATGCCTTGTGCCATTTTCCGCTCACAACTCCGCCTTTTTCTTCTCCTCTGTCAGCTGCTTGTTTTTTATTTGTGCATATTTGTGCAGAAAATGAAGAAATAATTTGAAAATACACAAGCACATGAATGCATGACTATGACTACATATAAACATGGCAGGATTTCCAGGGCTAGTCGTGTGGTGTGAACACAATGGCGCCAAATTATTTAATACTTCAAATGTCTGTCCCTGTTACTTCGTTTTATACATTTTTTTTTTGGCTTGGCCAAACGATGGCAAACATTTGACAATCATCATTTTTCGGAGTGCAATTTGGTTTTGCTCTCGGCTCGAGTCCAACATTTAATGAAGCCTCATTTTGGCTGCTTTTGTCCGAATGTGGAATGCAAAAATGTTTTCCCCCGAAATGGGAATTTTCTTCGAATGATTTCCGTAATATGTTGCACTCATATGCCGCCAGCAAAATTGTCTGGCGAAGTCAAATCAAATGGTAAAAGCAAAAAAGGAAGAAGGAAGCCTCCAATGTCCCCAACTTTTCACTCCACTGATTTACTCCGGCAA